CATTTGAAAATATACAAAATGTTATAAAAATTGTTTTTTGACTTACATGGAGGTGAAACATTGTTTGTTTTAACAATGATGTCGATGTCTCTCATCATAATGTCATTGATGAAGAATAAATAAATTGGGGAATAAACGGGTTTTCATTAAAAATGAAGGGCCCCGTGCCCTGAGAACGCGCACTTATGAATCAATCAAAAGTCAAGTCCCAGAAGGGAAACTTGACGAACACACAAGGTGCTCAAAGTAACCATATTGGTGTATTACAGGAAAGGGTCCCGTACCCTTGAGAGAGCGCACTTAAAAAGCAAAAATCAATTTAGAATTGATGGGGCCAAAGCCAAAAACGTGTTACATCCAACCTAAGGTTAGAAACACAGAATTAATTAATTGCAAGAACTTGACATAAGTCAAAGTCTTAATAACATGACATTATGACCAGTGACATAGGACACAGAATTAAAGCAAACAATGGGATGAATGTGAATTCCACTAGAGATAGTACAGTTAACAATACTCAATCAGAAATGACAATGAGAAGATTTGAAAGGGAGAGGGAGGAGGAACATTCCAACAAGATGGTTAGTCGCAAATCTGAAATTAAATGAATGATGATAATTGAAAGAGACCAAAGCAGGTGCCAAACAACATAAAACTAAATTTGGTTATTGGTAAAATCTAAGGAATTGAAAAATTTCACACAGTCATAGTTGACCTGTTCATTAAGGGATGTGACCAAATTATTGTTCAAAGCAGAATTTATTTCAAAAATTTCCAGCAAATTCAATAAAGTACCTTTCTGACAAACATGTAATATTTTTAAATCTTGATTCATGTCAAAATTGTGTTCAGAATTTAGTATGTGGTTAGCAAAAGAACTCTTAGTGTTATACTCATCTAAAATCGGAGGGGAGGTTTTGGATTTTTCTATGGTTTTTACATGTTCCAAGACTCTAGTTGAAATCCTTCTACCGCTTTGGCCAACATACTGTGCGTTGCAATCAGAACAAGAAATGCTATAGACACCAGATTTGTGATTCAAAGGAACTTTGTCTTTTGTATTAACTAAGGTTTTTGAAATATTGTCAATAGTGTAAAAAGAAATATTTATATTATCCATAAAACGATGAAAAATATTTTTAATATCAATGGAGACTTTACCCAAGAACGGAATTGAGGCAAAACGGTTCCTAGGGTTATCCAAGGGCAATAAACTTCTATTAATAGATTTGTTGAGGTGTTTGTTGTATATTCTATTGATGACATGAGGAGGGAAACCATTGTTATGACCAATCTGTTTGATAATGTTCAATTCATTATTAAAAGCAACCGGACTCATAGGAATGTTGAACAATCTATGGAACAAAGAATTAAATGCAGCAAATTTATGTTGATTAGGATGGCAAGAAGAGAAAGGAATGACTGAATCTGTGTGTGTAGGTTTACGGTAAATGGAAAAGTTGAAATGACCATTGTCCATGTTGATAAGCAAGTCCAAAAAGGGAAGTGAATTGTTCACTGCAACCTCCATAGTAAACTTAATTGCAGGGTGTAAGGAATTCAAGAAATCTAAGAGAAGGTTGACTTCCTGTAAATTACCATCAAATAAAACTACAACATCATCAACATACCTGTACCAAAAACATATTTTCTGATTCAAATTGAAATTATTTAGTTGACTTTCTAAATTGTGTAAAAAGATTTCAGCCAGAAGAGGAGATAAGTTACTTCCCATTGCTAGGCCAGAAACTTGTGAAAAATAAGAATTATTGAATTGAAAGAAATTTTGTTTGAGAACAATATCCAGCAAAGTACAAATGTTCAAACAATGAAACATGGGGATATTCGCGTTGAACAACAATTGACGGACCAGTAAAATGCAATCATCTGGAGGGACTGAAGGAAACAAGTTAACCACATCAAATGATACTAAAATTGAATTTTGAGGAATATTAACATTCTTAATTTTGTTTGTTAGATCAAAAGAATTTTTCAAGGCCAAAGGATTACTAAAATCTGTGAGATCTCTAATCAAGGAATTAAGCCAAGAAGCCAGATTGGAAGCTGGAGAATTACAATAAGAGACAACAGGACGAATAGGAACACCTTCTTTATGTATCTTAGGAAGACCATAAAGTAAAGGAGTAGAAGGGTTCATAGGTGTTAATGCTATTTTGGAAGAATGATAAAACATGATAGTATCTATACAAGAGTTAAACAAAATTTTCATATTGTTGAAGAATTTCAAAGTGGGGTCTAAGCGTAATTTAGTAAAACTATCAGAATCCAGAAACTGATTTACTTTATCTACATAATCATCTTTGTCTAGGATAACTAGGCAGTTGCCTTTGTCAGCTTTGGTGACTATTAGTTGATTATCAACAATTTTTTTGGAAATATTTTTAGAAAGTTTTAGATCATGAATGTTATTCAAATGATTGGACTGAATGTTAAAATTGTTATTCAAAGCTCTTGCAATCTCACTTCTTAGCAGATCCTTGTTAGGAACTTTATGCTGTTCAATAACCTTTTCACATTGAACAGATAATAACTTATAATTAGGAATATGTTTGTTTTTAGTAATATTGTATTTCAAACCATTATTTAAAAATGAAGTTTCTTTATGTGAAAATTGACAATTGGATAGATTCAGAACTCTAGCATGAAATGTGTAATTGGAATACTGAGAAACATTAAAATGAATATCTGGGTTACTGGGATGTTGGTTGATTTTTAGGTTAGAGAGCTTGTTTTTTAGAATTATGTGTAACTATATATTAACGATTTACTGCCGCGGCAGTCAATCTACGTTTGCTGCCGTGTTATAAAACCAATTTTGTGTATTTTTTTATTGAAAACTCCATCATTTGGTGTTCACCCAATGTCAATGTCAATTTTGAACATTAATTTCATTCAAATTACTTGGAACGTTGAATAGCAACAAACTTTTCCTGCCTAGGCAGAGAAGGTACACCTTTATTCCTTCCTGTTAAGTGTTAGAGAATAGCCACTTTCTATGCCGCTTGGAGAAAGTAACATTATTTCTCAGACTCAAAGCAAATGGAACAAAGCATGACAGTTTATGCTGTATTTGCAGTCTGGTTCTTGCAAAATAACAGCATTATTGTTTATATCTATCTGCTGAGGTTTCAATAGGTCGATAAATTGAAGAAGGCTCGGGTTTCATTTCAATTGTTTCATTGATTAATAGGTACTTAATATTCTGTGTTCTTTCTATGAATCTATATAATTTATATAATATACACTTAATGCATGATCCTTATTGTGTATCCATATTTCATACTGAAAGGATAGACTTCGCAATCTATACGATTCCCACAAAATTCTTCAAAACACGTTTTGCTAACACAGTAGATTCTTCAAGTGCAATACTCGTACAATTTTAATTAGTGTTGACTAAACATCGATGTTTTGCCTATCTTGTTTCCGATAGTGTTTAAAAGAATAATCGATATATCGATAGTCACTATCGATAGTTTTATCGGAGAAAATGTGAGGTTAACACGAAGTATTTGATAAATTAATATCATTTTATTAAACGCTTTCTACACTTTTGGCACGGTATAAGTACAATTCCTCGTACGATTCTGTCTAATTTGTTGGTTTACAATGAAATTTGGTGGAAATGGCGTGGACAAAATGACTTGTGACAAAAATGAAGAATGATATATGGCGTATGGCGCATGCATTGCGCATGCTCAGTCAACTCTTCTACTTCTCTTTTTCAGGTTTAAGCTTAGTATCGTCCAAATAAATTCATGTTGAGGGTATCGCATCGGCATAGCTTCCTTAGGTCTACAAAAATTCAGCAGATTCGAAGAAAAAACACAGTTTTCAATTACATCTACTTCAGTTTCACGCTATCGATACTATCGCTACACACTATCGATGGTTTTAGATAGTAAGAACTATCGAATATATCGATAGTTGCAATTTAGGCAACACTCTCAATAAATTAACCCAACATTGACTTGAAGTGAATTGTACACTCGTACAGGTCCACTTCATCACATTTCAATCATTGTATCATGCGGTGAAAATACAACTGTAGGTAATAGCTATTTATACAAGATGTCCCTAAAAGGTCTTTACAGAAACTCTCCACATATTACTCAGACCGAAACAATTCGATACAAGCAAACTTACCTTATTACAAAGTTCCTTAGTTTCAGGGCCGTCGCCAGCGGTACGCCATGGCTCCCACACATATTATTTGCCTGCCCTAGAATAATCGGTAGATACGAGAAAAATCGAACAAAGTGGCAACACTTATACTGCAGATTTGAATCTGGAGATTTGCGAAAACAATATTTTTGTTTCTCGACTTTAACACACTGTACCCTCTGAAAACTTGGATAATTTTCTCGAACACAAGAGAAGATGTATACCTTTGCTCCTGATATACAATGATAGATCAATTGATTTCATCAACGTTTTCTGTTCATATTTTCAAACTGCTTAAGAGGGACAATTTTTATATTGTAGCTTTTTATTTCTTAATGAGTAGGCCATAAACGTCTACTTTACGCCCTTAATACATAAATAACTATCATAGCTCCTCTTATGAGTAGAGTTTGAAAAACATGGAGTTGGAGTCAGGTCGATGTCAACATTAGTCAAAAATAAAGCATTTTACAAACTTTATGGCGGACACTTTTCAATGTTTCATTACACTCCGTATATCACATCAAAATATCATATAATTCAAAAACTACCTATTTGCGATAGAAAATAAGCGTACGCCACCTGTCGGAGTTCTTGAAAGCTGTCAAAGAGGCATGTTCACTTTGTTTTCATTGGTTCACATTTGTTTTTTGTTTGTGCTTATTGGTCATATCATCAAAGCAAACCACCCAGAAGTGTTCAAGTTGTTGCCGTCAGGTGGGGTGACGTGTTATATGCAATATTTCAAAATAGTTCGAATATTTGATATGATATAATATATGGTACCTAAATTTTTTTTTATTATGCAATTCTAGGCACATGATGTGGAGAATAACAGTGATCGTGCATGAACGGGAGGTTGAGCTGAACCATGGGTAAAGGAGCTAGCAAATCGAAGAAACAATACAATCACCATAGTAGGTATTTTGAAATATCTCCCTGTAGGTAATATACTTAAAATCATATCTCAAATTCATGGTTCTTTGTTCTGAGACACCTTGTACACTCTTGATTTGATTTGATTTATTCATAATAATATGTGCGATACAATTTATACACAGGGTTTCTATAAAAGATCGAAACATCGTAGTAGCCGTTGAAATATTTTCTCCATTTGCCGCCTTTCATTTATGGAGATTCACACATTCGATGCTGATAAACTCACAATTGTCAGTTTTTCGTTAAAATTTTCAAACGATTCTGTTTTCTACTTCGTGATTGTCGTGTTGAAAAGAGGGATGGCTTATTCCTCGGAGCAGAATAAATTTATTGTAATGTCTTATTGTCGAAATGGCACATTCATCAATGGTGGATGGAGTTACTCGGTAGTTGCCTGCAAGGATGAGTAGCTGGCGAAATATCCTAATATACAGATTCAAGAATCTTCTTTGAAAGCCCACATCAGAACAGTGATCAACAGATTCATCCAAACTGGAAACGTTAATAAAAAGAAATCAACAGGAAGGCCCCAAATATCGGAAGAAGTTGTCATTGAAGAGATTATCTTTACAATCTGCTGCCAAAATATTGGCCCGGAAATGCTGATGAACATTTTCGACAACAAACGGCCAAGAGTTTTGAAATGCTTGGAGAACAACGGAGAACATTTTGAACATTTGATGTAGGTTTATGAAATAAACCGTTATTTATTACTTCTTGAATAAATATTTTTGATTTGTTCCATTATTTTTCAAACTCCAATATTGGACTCTCCTTTCTTTGAGATACATTTCCATAGTGTATGCAAAACGATATAAAAAATATCCTGTATATATAATCACTTCTTCTCTTTTTGGTAAAGCGACAAATGGAAAAAAATGATTATTCAATGTCAATTAATTAATTAATTAATATTTTCATCAGATAGAGAATGAGATTGCTCAATGTATTTCTTTATATACAGGGTGTTCCTTAAAGGCATGCTAATATTTGAGGGGGTGATTCTTCGACTCATTTTCAGAAAAAAATTCTATATGAACGTATGTCTTGAGAGTCTTAGCTTTTGAGATACAAGGTAATGAAGTTTTGAAAAATATTCACTTTCCTGATAATAACCGAGACAATATTGTATACATCTTCATGAAATTTGGCACACGTCTTTTATGCATCAAGGTACATTTGACACAAATTTTTATTTTCTCTACCAGTGATGGCACCGTTATACGGGAATATTATTGTTGATATTTTACTTGAAAGTTAGCAACGACAGGAAATTTTCAGATTTCGTACAAAGCTATAAAAGGCTATTCAATTATGTACAAAAAAGACTCTCTTGTTGATAGAACGTTTCGTTTTAGAGAAAAAACGGAAGAACCAGACCCGAGACCAGACCAGACTTCAAATTTTGATGTCTGAGTACTCCTTTCAGGACATCCACTACTGGATAACCACAGTATGTAACATTTTGAAATTTTGTTACCGACTGAGTCACATAGCAGACTGAATTTTGCCATTAGGAAAAGATACAGGGTGGACAAAAAAGTATCTATGCATATTTTCAACATCTCAAAAGTTAGGACTTTACGAGATACGTTCACATAAAGTGTAATTCTTGAAATGGGTCGAATAATCGGCCCCTTGAATATTAGCACATCATTAAGGAACACCCTGTGTATATATATCCATTTCTTTCATGTTGATAATATAGCTGAGAATATTCCTTTTCAATACTATACTCACATTTGTTTCAATAAATATTGGGAAACAATTATGAACAATTTGCTAATGAAATCAACACACTTATATGTGTGATATCTCATCTGTTTAAGAGTATGATAATCAGGCTAGAGTATACCACTGATACCATTAATTACATGAATTCCATCTTGTCAATGTTCATAGATTCGAATTTATTCTAAAAATTCCGAAAGGTCTAAACAGCAAAACAATGCATTTTCCTTGTTTTCGAATGAAACATCTCATCTATAGAAATATTCTAGTTTCTACAGCCAAAGCTAAATATAAAAAGCGTTCATTTCAGAACGAAATCACTTTGTTTCATTCAAGGAAATGATATTGTGCGACATTATACAGGGTGATTCAAAAGTAAGCGGCATCCTTTCAGAGGCGTATTCCTTGCATGAAAATAAGGCAAAAAGTTCCTATTGATAAGGATCCGAAAATGCTTCCTAAGGGAGCTACGGCCCTTTGAATAGGACACCTCAAAGACGGTTTTTTCTCTATAACTTTAAAATCCTTCACAACAAATTTTTAAAAATTGGTGTACGGCATAAACATTCGATGGTAAATAGGACTCCGTATTCGAAATAATTTCCAAACGAAATCACAGTAACCTGAATATCCGGAGAAGAAGGGATATTTTTACACTTACCCTCTCCCGCATGTGACGCCCCTGAATGAAATTCTGAAATTTCGAATACGGAGTCCTATTTACCATCGAATGTTTATGCCGTACACCAATTTTTAAAAATTTGTTGTGAAGGATTTTAAAGTTATAGAGAAAAAACCGTCTTTGAGGTGTCCTATTCAAAGGGCCGTAGCTCCCTTAGGAAGCATTTTCGGATCCTTATCAATAGGAACTTTTTGCCTTATTTTCAAGCAAGGAATACGCCTCTGAAAGGATGCCGCTTACTTTTGAATCACCCTGTATATGCGAACAATAATGGCGCATTCTGATTAACAGGAACTATATTATACATTCATATTTACACTATGATTGGCAGAATACACCAAACATGACCAAACAAACCAGACATTTCTATTTCCTCTCTGTAGTGATTCAAAGGAAACTGATGAAAATGATCGTTGTTTATTTCCACATTTTGAACTAAAGCTGTTCTACAAAATGTAAAACCAATGACTGACCCTTGTTGATATTATGCCATATAGAATAATTTCCGGCTAGATTATCTGTATGCACTGAGAGCTTGATGAAAGTATGGTGAGAAATGGGCATAGTGAATAGGTTGTTCCACCTGATTCAGAGGATAGACCTGTTCACACAAGATTCAAGAGTCAATGGAGGATAATACATAATAGGTCACATTGGTTGTACTTTTTTTCATCTTTTAGTTCGCACGAAAGGGAATCCCTATTTGCTGTTCGTCTTGTGCATTCTGCTCAGTCTCAAAACGAATAAGCCCAATGGTCCTGATGAAATTCCACCCATTATTCTCAGAAAGTGTGCACCAGAATTGACACCGATTCTATGCAAGCTATTTACCATCTCCCACAAGTCGGGTATTTTTCCATTTTGCTGGAAAATAGCTAGAGTCCAACCAATCCCCAAAAAAGGAAACAAGAGCCTGTTCAACAACTATAGACCAATTGCCCTGTTATCGGTCATCTCCAAAGTGATGAAGAAAGCCGTTAACATTGAGCTCATCAAATATCTGGAAAGTTCAGGCCAACTCCTTTAGAAAAACATTGGGGAATCTCTAGCTGTAGCGCTTATAGACATATCGAAGGCATTCGAACGTGTTTGGCACCAAGGACTGCTCCACAAAAAACAATCATACGGTTACCACCTTAGCTATGCCATTTTTCATCGAGTTTTCTCAGGCAGATCGCTCCATGTGGTGGTGTACGGAATATCGTCTGTTATATACCATTGCCATATATTCGGCGTTCCACAAGGATCAATCTTGGCACCAACATTTTTCCTACCTCATATCAACGATCTATTGAGAGCAACCACTTGCCCTATCCACAACTCTGCAGGCGATAGTTCTCTCCATACTGCGTTCTATTCAAGAATTCCCATTTCTTCCCAGGAAAAATAAGAACATACGACGAAGGCAGTCCAACGCTGTTAATGAAGATCTTGCAGAAATAACAGCCTGGGGAACCAACAATCTAGTTAAATTCAACGCCACCAAAACGCAAGCCTCTATTTTCTCTAGAAAGGCAGAAATCAGAATGCCTGATATAACGATGTCTGGTACCAACATTCCCACCAAAACCACTATATCTCCTCGGTATTACCGCAATACTCTCGCATGGGAAAATCTTGTAAGATTCTTCACAAAAGCTGCTTCAAAAAAACTTGGTTTCTTGTTCCGTGCGAAAATCTACTATACACCACAACAGCTCCTCATGATACCTCATACAAAGCACAGATACGGCCAGTTTTAGAACACTGTTCTGATGTATGGGGTTCAGCACCCAAACATACGATGATGCTCTCAGATTCCATCCAGAGAAGAGCCATTCGCCTGGTGGGTGACGCCACACTCACCAACTTTCTGACCGAATGGATATAGGGTACGTCAGGGTACGTCATCCTATGAGCTAGGGTTCAAAACATGACAATTGATATTCCGAAAATGTAATACCTGTGTGCAAGATATAGTTCCATAGAATATTATCAATACCGGGTGTAACATGATCATGGTACACCCCCTTTTTCTCCTTTTGTTTTAGAGATAAGTGACTGAAATTTGGTTTGATCCATCAACTTGATGAATGTCACTTTTTGACATAAATAGGTTTTATTTTCCACTGGTTTCAATTAGGGTCCCTTGATGGAAATTGACGTTAAAGTCATATTAACAGCTAGGGTACGCCGGTACGGACAGATCCTCGTCTCCTCTCACTCCAAAGTGTTTGTGAAACAGTTATATATAGTTCCATCCTTATTCAATTCTGGGGATAAACACTAGATTTTTGACATTTGTTGTTTTTTAGGTTATATTGGCGTATCATACGTAATTTCCATATGGAATTCCTGATTCAACTATACCAAAATATAGATGAACAATCCTCTAGTTTTAGAGTTTACTACTCCAGCATAATCTTTGCGAGGTAGGGAACATATGAATTATACTGAAAGCTTAATATATTCCACCAAAAGAGACTGTTCTTAGACTGTATACCTAGGTTGACTTAATCGACTGAATGAATTCTGATTTCAAGCTGAGCAGTAGTTTCTCTATGAGCTGAATGAGCTGAACCTTATGATTGAGAAATGGTGAAAACCTCGACTCTTGTAATCTGTGCTAAATAAATTCTCGAAAATCCAACTCGAAGAAGAATTTATGGAGTGACTACTATCACACTATGTATAAAACTTCGTCTAGGACGGAAAGAAGGCTGATAAAAAGTAATACGTACAATGTGCAGGAAAATAAAGAATAGAATATACTTTACCCCCATGTTATACATATATTATTCTTGCGTCTCCCTTACATAAAAAGTCATTTTCAAATAATTTATTGATGAAAGTAACGAACAAGTAGGTGTACGTAGTATAACTTATATGCACGTTATTTTCACTCTTGCATCCTACATATTTTCTATTTGTGGTAGGGTAATAATTATATAAACTAACGTCTTTCGCCATATTGGATCCGTCATATTTAATTTTCCAATTTAGACGAAACAATCATTATCCCCTATTCCGAAAACACCCAGATAACAATTTTGAATAGAATCGGATTTTCATTACAAAACTCGTCCACCATATTGGATCCGCCATCTTGAATATTCCAATTTTGACGAAATAATCATAATCTCCGACCCCGGAAAACCCCAGATACAAATTTTGAATAGAATCGGATCATAATTACAAAATTCGTTCGCCATATTGGATCCGCTATTTTGAATTACCCAATTTTGACAAATAATCATAAAGTTCGACCCCGAAAACCCTCAGATGCCAATCTTAAATAGAATCAGATCATAATTAGAAATTTCTTTCGCTATATATTGGATCCGTCATCTTGAATTTTCCAAGTTTGACGAAATAATCATTATCTACAACCCCGGAAAACCCCAGATATCTTTCAATTTTGAATAGAATCGGATCATAATTACAAAACTCGTTCGCCATACGATCTTTCTCAACAAGTAAATACCCTGTACATATACCTATTATTAAAATTTTGAATGATTTTCTGTAGCGCCCATGGATGTGACGTGACATCAATGTCAAGGATGCCAGTAGACAAAACTAAAATCTCTAGATCATTGAAAAAGAATGCAACTATGATCTGTCCGTACTCTGTCAAGATGACATTAACGTCAACTTCCTTCAAGGGACCCTAGTTTCAATAACTTTGAGTTTTCAAATGGAACTTCCTGTATATCATTGCATTTTCGAATTCTGAATCATTTTTCGATTTCGATTTTTTATCTGAGTGTGCCATGACTATTCTGATCGAGTCTGATGTACTCATATTGTCAGGTGTAATGCTAAAAAAATTGAATCCTGTCAAAAATGTAAAATTTTTTGATTTATCACCAATTTAAGTTCATCAAAATGGTTTGGTGTACCATGATCGTGTTACACCCGGTATATCGAATGAAAAATCTTTCAGAATATCTTTGAGGTGGAAATTCGACAAAATATGCGCCTCTATTTCCTACTAATTCTTCACATTTTGGAACACCCTGTATCGAATCAAAAAGAATGAAATGAGGGACAAGTAGGGAAACATGTGACGTAATGCGCTGATATCATTGGTTTTATCTATCTTCCAGATTTTTCTTGGAGCAGATTTAGTACACTTCGTTCATCCAAGCCTCGTCTACCTAAAGAAAATGGAGCTTTCAATAAAAAGCACAAAGATATCTCGATATGGCTGCAGGACTTGGAGCTGGAAGAGTATCAGGAAAAATTCGAGAAATTTCAGGGAGTGGAAGATCTTTTGGAGTTCTCTGAGCAAGATATCAAGGAACTGGGAGTGAAGAAATCTTCTCATCGAGCTAGGATTATCAGTAGCCTAACCTGTCTGCATGCCAAATACCATGGTAAGAATAATTCATTATCTACGATCAGTTCTGACTGCTATAAAATTGATAGTCGGTTTCAAAATATAAGTACATTTCACACCTCTATGAAGTTAACAAATCCAATATAATTGTCGGGAATTCGTCGTAAAAAAAAAATGTCGCGCTTTTAGTTATTTTCGAATGTGGTGGCTGCGTTTAATATCAAGTTAGCACAGCCACTAGGGTAAATCGACATTCAAACTTCAAATATCCTCGCTGGGGTCATGAAAAATTGTGGAATATTTGTCGAAACCCATTTGACGTGATGAGAAATTATAAAACTCATATTTCATATATCATATAATATAATTATTTTTCTACAAACGCTTAACAAAGTAGCCTTTGACGCTTTCGAATTCCAGCACAAAGTTGACGTTTTCCCAGAAATGTCATTCTTTGACAGCATTTGCGCTCGTGAGAGGAAATATTGAAAAAACGCTCGCTTATCTCTGTAACCTATACTTATCTATTCTTGAAAACCCCCAAGTCTTTCATGATGGAAAAAAGTGACAGTGAATCATCAAACACACCTCCTTCCTGATGATATAGCAGAAAGCGCAAGAGTTCGAATCTCTTAACGGAGAAATCAAGGAAGAAATATGAATTACAATATGATACATTCATAAATTGGTGTCACTCCGAGATGGTGAATATGTATTCATAAAACGTTTTACTGGCTTATTTTGGTAAAAAATCAAAGACTTTGAAGTCATCAACTCATTGGTCTATGTATTCGATGGTACGTATACATGCTTGAATGTTAAAGATAATATCGGAATCAATAAGTATCTGAAACTTATCGCATTTCTCAAGAAACAATCTATTGGATATAAAGCGAGACAAATCCAAAACAATCACCGCTGAAGATATATACCAACAAATTTCTACAAGAAGCTCCCGATGAAACATATCTGTTGAGAACGATGCATTGCAATCAATGAGTAATGTTCAATTTGATTGCAGAGTTTATCGTACTATGGCTCAGAGGTCTGAAGCTCAGGTTGCAACGCTGGTGGTCCAGTTTCAATTCTCGGTAGGCCCGACATTTTTTTTTCTGGCTTGTCAGTTATTTCAATTTTTCTTTTTTTGTTTCCTTTGGACACATGGGATAATATGGATTAGAACTTTCTCAACGATTTCAATCACTCATACTTTCAGGGTAGTTATTTCCAAAAGCTGCGTTAGTAGAAAAAATCTTGTGTGTATTTCGAGCACAGTGTTATTGCCGCTCTCCAAAGATTAACGCGCTCCGCTCCGCATCGCGCGGTAACTTTCTTTGTCGAGCGGCAATCTATCACTTTGCGCTCTAAATACACAAATAGCTATTTTCATGGGGTTTCCTGAAATCCGTGAAATTTCGAGTTTTTGGCAAAACTGTATCAAGCAGAAAAACTACGTTTAAATGCTAAATAATAGAAAAATTTAATTTTTTTAGCAATGCAGCCATGTTTAATCATCAATTTTTAGTCGCTGACCTTAAATTCATCTAACAATAATTCTTAAATGCTCAAAAAATATTTGTCGTGAACGAATATCTTGGTCCCTATCTATTAAAGATAATATGTTTCCCTACCTTGGTGTACAAATAATAGTTACGTTGTGTTGTCTCCCGACGCGTAGCCGAGGGAGACAAAAAACCGTGAGCTAAAATCTAATATTTTTCCCCCTATTCCCCCTATTTTTTTCTGTGACAGAAGAAAAGACGAATCAATATTGAGAAGATATTACATTATTTTGAAATCTGAAAATTATCGACGTGAAATTTCAAGTTTTTAACAGTAGGGACACCTGCGTTGTAGGCATCTTTATAATTCTTTTGAAGTAATCAAATATCTGATGTCACTTCTGTCAGTCTAATTCTGTGATTTGATTTCAAAAAATTGCGAATTTAGTGGTTATTTAGTAATATACGTAACCGCGAAGTCGAATGGAAGATTAAAGGACTTGCAGTTCTTTCACGGAGACGGTATTATTGACTCATTTTTCTGAACTATAGCACAACAAAAGCCATCAACAGTGTATATATATGTGATATATATCCAGGAAAAGAGTACTCACTTTTTTCCCACGGGAAAAAAGTAATTTATGAAAAGTGACATTTTATAACCTGCCAACAGAGATGAAATGCCAAACTTTTTTCCTGTCACAGAAAAAATAATATTTTGAACTTTCGAAATGATGCATATACTTACTTCTTCATTCACACAACTATGATTTTTTTTTTCAGATAATGGTATCAGAAATCCAAAAATTCGGCATAGTGTCACTGTGGATACTAGAACCAGGATCAAACAAGAAGATACTTTGTGAGTACCAATTTTATTTGATGTGATTTATAATACGGGTATTCCGGAGGTCCATACGAAAAGTCCTAGGGAGGTGGGACGGAAGATTTATGCTAGTCATACTCTTCTGGTTTTCGGTTTAAAAAAAAAACCTAAATTATTAAAAATAAAATTTTTCCATATTTCCACCATAATAAGACAACAACCTTAGTTAATTAATCAACGCAACGTGAAAGCCGAAAGCTATACATAAATAATATATACAGGGTATTGAGAAAGAAAGAAACATAATTATATGTAGGAGGAATGAATAACCTGTACGAATAGAGAGGAATATATTATGATGTATTCCAGATTTATATCCCAATGTTCACAAAAATCTTTTTTTTTTTTTTCATTAAAATACTTGACAGAACATTTTCAAAATTCTCTCCTAACACCCCTGGGGGGCACATTACCAGTACTTTCTCCGACCCCCCTTTAAAAAAATTAAAATACTTCACTGATCAGGTTTGCTACTGCTAGTGAACGGTCTCGTAATAAGCCTCTAATAACTATGAGGATGCAGAAATTTATACGCTCGATTTTCTTAATTATATGCTTAATTGACTCTGCAGAAATTTACTACCGCGAAGCAGGCAAGGCTGTCTCGATGCAGTCCAGTTTAATTAGGATTCAGAAGCGGAAGTTGATTTATTGGATGACCGATAGCCAATTTATGCATTCCGCGTAACAATTAGTTCGATTGAGTTCTTTAACCGGATAAGTGGAAGCATAGATTAATTCGGTACTCTGATGAATATGATACCTGCATGGGACATAGTCATATGGGAACGAGTTCATTTGCGATCAGGTCACAAGATACCTATGAAATATTGCTCCGGCCAAAGATTATACACTCAGTTCCAAAAAAAGTGACGCACTTGATATTTGAACTATCTTCTTAAAAAAAAATGAAATGATGAAAAAAACTGATACCAATAATTTTAAAAAACATTTTTATAAAACACAAAATTATAAATTGGGATCTTAATACCGTATATCGCCTCCTCTAGCAACTCTAAGAACTTCTAATCTACGAAGCATACTGGAAATTAAGTTGCTTATCGTTTCCATTGGTATACGATCCCATTCTTCCACTGATGCATCTGCCATTTCTGCGAGACTTTCCGGAGACCTCTCGCGAGAACGTACCCTTCTCCCTAATTCATTCCACAAATGTTCTATAGGATTCATATCGGGGCTTCTCGCAGGCCATTGTAATGTGGTAATACCAGTAGCATCTAAGAAGTTTCGCACTATTGCTGCGGTGTGTGGTCGGGCATTATCCTACATCAATATAAAATTATTGTCCACTAACTCTGCATAAGGTAAGACATACTGCTCTAAAATGTCAATGTGAATTTGGGCATTCATCGACTGCCTCACCGGAAAAACATGAAGGGGTGTCTTTCCATTCATTGAAATCCCTCCCCACACCATAACGGACCCACCATTAAAACTTTCGCATTCTGTTATTAAATTTTGATTAAACCGTTCACCAGTTCTTCTCGACACTCTTTTTCTTCCATCCACCATGCTAAGGCAAAACCTTGCAGGTTTTGAATTAACTTCTTTTAGACGTCTACATACCGTCTGCTTACTTACTGTAACATCACGAATTTGGCGAAGATCTTGCTGAACATTTACCGCAGTATTTGATCGAATCCGTAAAATCCGCAATCTCAAGAAGCGATCATCTCTTAGAGAAGTTTTTTAGGGGCGACCAGAACCGACCCTCCGAGCGGTGCTTCCTGTGTGTTCGTACTTGCGGATTGCTCTACGAGCAGTTGCTTCATGAACTCCCACGAGCGGCGTAACGTTAACCACGCCCATCGTTTACTAACGCAACTAATCTTGCTACTTGTTCAGGATTTATTTGAGGAATTTTATATAATTTTAGTCAATAAAACAATACACTTAATTAATGATACAACGACAAATTGTCAAATATGGAGGCATACAACAAATTAGTTGCTATGGCAACGGCATTTGTTTTTTTAAAGACAATGTGATCCTACCAGAGTACAACCCAATCAATTTTGAGTACTCTGATCCTTCAATAAATTCAATTTGTGGGATAAGCGTGAGGTATCAGCAAAAAAGCTTTAATTCGGAAAATTTTAGAGATAAATCAATGAATAAAAAAACAAAATGCTCGCAAAAGAAGCCTCTTTCGTATAGGGTGTAAGAACTTTGTATACCATTACTCAATTATTGCCCTCGTACCCTTTATGTGCTGGTACCCATGCTAGAGTCAGTCTGTTCTGACTGCCCAGTTCATTTAGGGTTTCTATGCAGTCCCATACTAGTTTTGAGTTAACTTGCATGGAGTTGACTGCTTTGATTGCCGCCTGGCTATCTGAATAGATTGCAATGGTTTTGCCTTTAAACTCTTGCCTTATCAATTCTTTCACGCAATGATGTATTGCAATACTTTCTGCCTGAAACACCGTCGCGAATTTACCTAAGCTCAGTGAGATTCTTGTCTTTAGCATGGCCCCATAAATACCAGCTCCTGATACTTCCTCAGTTTTGGAGCCGTCCGTATAGACAGCAATGTCTGCATTCTCATGCATGCCTCTCTGTCCGTTATATTTATTTTGAAAAATTTTTCAAAGGTATATTTTGAGATTATGCCATCCGTTGGCATTCCCATGTTGGGTCGCTTTCCAACTCTTCATATAGCTTTCTATAGTCTTTACCGTGCGCGTTGCTTATGGGTGCTTGACCCCTTGACAATCTACTCACGACTGCTCTGGCTTCGCCTTGAATATATATTTGTAGTGGTGGCAGGTTCAAGAGGACCTCTAAAGCGGCTGTTGGAGTGGTTTTCATTGCACCAGTGGCACTCAGGCAAGCTTGCTTTTGAATAGCACTGAGCCTTCGAATCACTCCAGCCTGTTGTGTCTTTGACCAGCAAACTACTGACCCATATGCTATCATAGGCCTGATGGCGCTGGCATAGAGCCATGTGATCATTTTTGGTTGCAGTCGCGCAGTATTTATACACTAAGGAATTATTATTATTTCATCATTACCACGGGACCTTCTACACATCGGCTGAAGCCTTGGGATATAATCTTGGTCCCTGGGTAACACTGATTTCCTTTACTCGCGAGGTGTATATTAAATTTGTTCCAACACTAGCAATACATTTCAATCATTTTAGTTTTGTGAAACTGTAATATGGACCTATTGTCACTATGAAAGCACTTCTTTTCAATTCTAAATAAAGTAGCCATGACTATGACAGCATCTGACAAGTCGTTATTGATAAATACCTACTAGATTCGAGTGCCATTCCTGCGAATCTCGCATGAGAACAGTAATGGTTATGGTCAATTGAAAGTAAGTTCTTGGGCGGCTGTTGGAGACAGACTGTTTCTTAGAGAAATCGTAGATTATTATTATGAATTATCTGCGGAAACCGATGAAGAACGCAATTTTTCCAAAGAATGCGAATTTGGTAACTTTTTTCAGGGTCATCCAGTGAAAGCTCTAGCAATTTGTTACAGAATATACAATATCTATAGTAATAAAAAGGCAGTTGTCGAATCCCTATTATGTGATTAGCACATCCCATCATAGAATAAGTTCACAGATTTCATAGCCTTCTGGTATGTAATAGCGGTAAAAGTGAACGTCTTTTTTCGTATTTCCGACACTCCAAATGAAGTAAGGGATGAAGTATTAATGAATAATGCATTGGTATTTTGGTAAGATAAATGAAAGCGATTTTATCATCATCTGAGTTTTCCGGTCTTATTCTGACTGTTCTGACTTACCATGTAAATGTTTTTTACTTTTTCAAGCTTATGCGCTCTAACTTTCTCACTTCCTGCACTGACTTTATAGTTAACATTTTGATGATTAACTGGGTTTATTTGAGTGGATAAGTAAAAATGTTTACAGTTCAATATTTGCTAATCATAATTTCACAGCATCACAATACTTACACACGAAATTATTATTCAATTCACACGTACTTCCATCATTTCTGATACATTCTCGTTTTCTCGTTAATCTCGTTAGGGCGTTTTTGTATCACTAGCACTTGGAATGGAATTCCCAATATCATCGATATATGGGCATCTTCTCACTTAGAAGGTGAAGTGCAATTATCAATACATAATTACGCAGCAAGAAAAACTGTTTCAACATGTTATATCTTTATCGAAGTGGATTTCATACACTCGTTGTCGTTTGCTTGTATAAAGAGTATAAAACAAACTATGGGTTCACTCAAATAGACTGTTTTCATTGCGGTCACGTAATTTAAGCAAAACGCGGCACGTCCGTGTCTCCGCAAATAATGCGCTACATTACATGACAGTCGTGCCATACTTTATTAACATCGGTATGAGGTATCAAACAAATTCCAGGTGAAATTAGATGCCGAACACGTGTGTAACGATATGAATTTGAATGAGATAACTTTCCGCAAATTATTTGCATGAAGATGCACGAGACATCTCGGAAAGTATGGGCTATACAATCTTCCAGATGGAATAAGGCAATACAGGGTGATTCACATAAGAACCGACATAGAGCAGGGGCATGTAGGGGGTCCCAAAATATGGCAATTTAACGGAACTTACCTCTATCCGAGGTTGCTTCCCTAAGGAGTTATAGGCTTATAAAGTGAAGTTGAAAATTTTGAAAAAAATCAATATCTCCGTTATTCTTGAACTTAAAGCAACCAAATTTGGTACACTTCGTGGATGTATTTAGGGCGTTACTTGACAGTAACTAGAGCTTAATTGAAATTTGTGAAGGGGGTATACCGGGTGGCGCACCATTATTATTCAACAGAATTTTGTTAACCCTTGATGGATTTCAAAAATCTTTGCTTTTGTTGTGTGGGAAATTCAATTCTAAAACTTTTCTTACTCTAGTAATTTTTCGAAAAACCTCATCATTTTCATCAAAAACTCGAATAACTGAAACGCGCTCTAGGTGTTTTATTTAAAATCATCGAAAATT